TGGGCGCGCGGCGGGGACCCTGGGGCGCGGCCGCCCGGAGCGCGTGCCGGGGTCCGGAAGGGGGCTGCGGATTGCGGTCGCTCCCGATTTCCCTCCGGGCCTCGGGGCGCTCGGACTCTCACACCCTCGTCCTCCCAGGTGCCAGCCGGGGCCGGAGGGCGCGCCAGTCCTCCACGCCGCGCGCCATGGGCAACGCCTCCAATGACTCCGGGGGCTGCGAGCAGCGACAGTGGCTCCCCGCGGGCGAGAGCCCGGCCATCAGCGCGGCGATGTTCTCGGCGGGGGTGCTGGGGAACCTCCTGGCGCTGGGGCTGCTGGCCCGCCGCTGCCGAGGGGACGCGGGGCGCGGCGCGGGCGGCCGCGGCGCCCTGTCCCTGTTCCACGTGCTGGTGACCGAGCTGGTGTTCACCGACCTGCTGGGGACCTGCCTCATCAGCCCGGTGGTGCTGGCCTCGTACGCGCGGAACCAGACGCTGGTGGCCCTGGAGCCCGACAGCCGCGTGTGCACCTACTTCGCCTTCGCCATGACCTTCTTCAGCCTGGCCACGATGCTCATGCTCTTCGCCATGGCCCTGGAGCGCTACCTCGCCCTCGGGCACCCCTACTTCTACCAGCGCCGCTTCTCGCGCCGCGGGGGCCTGGCCGTGCTCCCCGCCATCTACGCCGCGTCGCTGCTGCTCTGCTGCCCGCCGCTGCTCGGCTACGGCCAGTACGTGCAGTACTGCCCCGGGACCTGGTGCTTCGTGCGCCACGGGCGCTCGGCTTACCTGCAGCTCTACGCCACCGTCCTGCTGCTGCTCATCGTGGCGGTGCTCGCCTGCAACTTCAGCGTCATCCTCAACCTCGTCCGCATGCACCGCCGGGGCAGAAGGAGCCGCTGCGGACCCTCGTCCTTCAGCGGCGGCCCGGGGCCCCGCAGGAGAGCGGAGCGGCTGTCCGTGGCGGAGGAGGCGGACCACCTCATCCTGCTGGCCATCATGACCATCACCTTCGCCGTCTGCTCCCTGCCCTTCGCGGTGAGTCAGTCAGCCCTGCCCGGGTTTCTGCAGCCCAGCCGCGTGCAGCCTTCTCTGCTCCTCTTCCCCCGCCCGCCCCTGCGCTTCCTGCCGCCCTGCAAACTCTTGGCAACTGAAAAAGTATGTCCTAATGTTAACGCCCTGTCTACCGCTTTGCCCTCTCGCTTCTCACCCGACTTCCTTCCTCCGGCAGTCCTGGCACGTGGGCGTCCCTAAGCTAGTGTTTCTCAGATGGTACTGCCGTACCCCAAAAGGAAGCCTTGGCCCCTCGCGATGCCCGCCCAGCCCCCCGTGCTAGAGTCGCGAGCCCCTGGACTCCGGTCCTTTCCACTCCAGGCTAGCTTGTCCAGGTAACGCAGGAGGAGGCGACCCGTGCCACCTTGGGGTGTGGGATGTTTGTCATCGTTACAAGGCGGCCACCCTGAGCCAGTTTGCTGCTGTACCTCCCAGCCACCGGGACTGGTTCTCCGTGCTCTGCCTTCTGCTTGTCAGGAACAAAAAAAATGTTGTTCCCAACCCATGGCATTCCAGCTGCCGTTGAAAATGCACCCAAATGCGGAGGCTCCTTGTGGCAGAAGTTCAGAGCGATCATTATTTGTGTCTAAAGTTCAAGCATCTCGTTTACAGTTTCCCGATTTACATATTTGAGTGTAGCTATTTGTGGTCGTGGAAATTCATGAAGAGGAGGCAAAGACAGTTCCACAGAGGAACCCCCTTCTGCTTCTGCAAGCCCTCCATAGGAAGCATTTGTAACCTCTTAAACATCTTTGGATGTCAGGGTCAGGAATACACACAGGTGCTTTGCCTTTTATGGTTGTACACTTCATGAGCCCATAGCTCCACAAAGAACAGCTGGTCCATGTCAGGGAAGGGAGACCTGAAGGGCATCGGGTGCTGGCCCCCGTGGGCAACCTGCTGGGGCAGTTCTCGCATGCTAAGTTCAAGCTTCCTAAAGGCTTAGCACAACCTGTGCTGCTCTGACCTCTAACAGAGCTAGAAACCGGAAGTTTGTAAAGAAAGATAAGATGCCTGGCCTTTGCAGGTCCTACTTGCAGAAGCTGGGGAAATAACTCTACCCTGGCCCCCTGACTGATGCCTTCTAGTTACCCTCATCTGCTTATTCTCAAGTGGCAAAGGAACATGGTCCTGAAAGTCCAGATGTAATCCCTGCCCGAAGCTGTGTTCTCTTTGCCTGAGTCCTCACATTTCTGTCCCACCTTTTATCAGGGCAGAAGCTGGTCTGAATCCGCAGGCTACGCTTAGTGGGGAATGAGAGGGAGTTTGTCAAAGGCGTCCTCTTTACTAATGAACTAAGGTCCTGTGAGAGGTGACACCTCCCGTTCCACCCTGAGCAGTGGAGTTTGTGGTAGAGAAACATTGTGATGTAGAAACCAGGGGCTTCTGTGCTTTTTGTTTCACAGTAGGAACTTTTAATTATGTCAGGGGCTAAGTCAGCTTTTGGGGTTGGGACTAGGATGGAGAACATTACGAAAGAAAGCATTTCAAGTTCCCTTAAACAACAGAATGCAACTTGAAGGACATAAACATGTCCAAATAGGGGAGTGCCTGTCAGGCTGGTGGGAGCTAGCATGTCAGCTCTTGGAGTTTTCTCTGCCATTTATGAAGGTGCATGAAAACATCCCCCCACCTCCAGCAACATAAATGGCCTGAAAATGGGTTCCAGGGGGACCACACTTCTGTAAAAAGGATTGTTACTCCCCTTCTTATGCCATTTAGAGGAGGCAAGCAGGAAGAAAAGGGTCTCCCCATGACTGGCCCACTCAGAAACCAAAAGCAGGAACTTTCAACAGGTTCCCACAGTTTCATGTAAACACTGCCTTTATCATGAGAACTCCATCAATGCTATATGTTGGTTTTTAAATATATATATTTGATACATTAGGCCCTCATTACTCTTAGGCCTGGGGTAGCTCCAGAGTTGCACAAAAAAAAGGGCCTAGAGCCAGAAGTCTGGGTACAAAAGGGATAAGGGGAGGAGAAGGTTTGCTTTGAAGCTTTTTTTTTTTTTTTTACTTAGATTGCCTGTTTATGGTGTGGGGGGCTAAATGAAGTTTATAAGGTTTAGCGCCGTAAAACTACCCTTTAAAACTGACACTACCTGCAAAACGCTTCTGGTGTTTGCTTCTGCATGTATTCATTGCAAAGATTCCCAGAGAGCAAGAGAAAAATCTTCATATGAAGGGTCAGGAAGCCAGCCACGCTGACTTCGTGTCCTGTGACTATCGTGACATCACAGCCAGATGAACTATAGATAATCCAGTAGGCACAAAAGAGAAAGTTGAAACCGTTTCTTAATAAGGAAATCTGCACTGGCCATTGACTGATTTTGTTTTGTCAATAGATCACTGGTAATGATTATTACTATCTTTCTCTTGCATAACCCTTTACACTTTAGGAAGGACTGCAGTACAGTTTATTTCTTGAGGTCTAATTCAACCATTCAAAATTTATGACTGCTGTTTAGTTTATACATTCTTCTATTTTAGAATGCTTGGCATTTGCTCCAAAGGGTGTTTTTACCCCCTATAAGTCCTTCTGTTTTACTTGACCCACATGGTTAGAAATGGTCTACACCAGTCTCCCGCCCAAGGTAGGAATCACTTGCATACCTCCTCACCCGAGGCACTGTAAGACAGTCAGGGGCTTATGACTGACTTTCCAAATTCTCCTGCTGCTCCAAACACGGTGCACAGTCCAACAGAAATACAATATGAGCTGCCTATGAAATTTTAAATTTTTCTCAAAGCCACATAACAAAAAGTAAAAAAAAAGTTGAAACTAAATACATATTTTAGTTAACCCAACTTTAAAAAATCAATTCAAATAAGTTATCCTTGTAAAACTACTTGAGATATTCTAGCTAATGTTCTTCCGTGTACCCCAGAAAATACAGAAAACTGTAGTACCCCATGTCTGCCATTCTTTCCTCAGAATAACAGGCACTGCTTTCTGTGTCCATCAAAAGTAGACCAAACCACTGACCAGCAAGGGGAGTGCACACATTTGTACCCAGTGGGACCCTGGTCTATTCCACAGCATCCTCGCATTGGAAGAGACTGGGTGATTTAGGGAACCTAGAACTACTAATCTCAGCCATTGCCCTAGGGTTTGGGCAGAGTGGAATTACAGCTCCCACTAGAGCCTGCAAAGTTTGGGAAGTAAAACTCTCAAAATGGAAAAAAAAAAAATGTCCTGAAATGAAGTCATATAACCTCATGTATCATTTTATCAAAAGACGTAAGATTTTGAACGCTAATTTCATAGTAACTTGTTATCTTCACAGCAACCTACAAAATAAATAATATGATTCCTGTCATACAGATGAGACAAAATAACTTTCCCTAGGTCCCGCAGCTAGTGAGGGCTGGATCTGGGATCCAAAGCCTCGCAGTGGAAGCACTGAGACTATGCACTAATTACAATGCTTTAAAGAAAGGTACTCATTTCAGGGGTAACATATGAGAAGATGAATCTAGAGTTTCATAAGAGAATTATGAAGACATTATAAATATTTGGGGGGCTAGGGGTGCAGCTCGATGATAGAGAGCTTGCCTAGTATGCACAAAGCCCCTATCACTGCACTAAATAAATAAATTATTTTGCATTGTAATTCCAACTTGTTAACTTTACAACTAAAATGGCAAGGACCTTTTACTCCCAGTCCGCTCAAGGCAGCTAAGCTGGGTCAAAGTGTGGAGTTTCCTTTTCATTCTCCATAGACCTATAAAATAAAAGTCTGACATTGCGATTTTAAGAGATTGGCTAATGTAAACGATGATCTAAATTAAGAAACAATCAGATTATCCCTCACATAAAATCTTCCGTTGGTACACATAAAACATTTCTTTAGTGATAAAAAAAAAAGCATGTAGTATTTAGAAAACGACATTATTTTGGCTGTCCAATAAGAAATCATGCATGAAACCAACAACATATTCCAAACTGTTTATCCATTAAAGGAGTTTTGTGTAAATTAATAAATTCCTCCTTGTGCTAATCAGCTGTTGTCAACATTTCCCAATGACAAACAGAAACCTTTTTCTTCCTGAAACAGAACAGCACAGGAAACATGAGACCTCCGTTCCTGTCTCAAATACTGTTTGTTTCTTAATTTCCAACCCGTATCAAACCGTCCTCTCACCACTTTGCTAATTGTGATAGTTTCTGGTCATTGTAAATGGTTTCTCACATGCCATTAGGATAAAGTGCTCAGGCCTGTTGCTCAGTTCTAAAATTTCAACAAGAAAGCGTTGACTCATTCTAAAAATGTACTCATCTTTACAAATTCTTTAGGGTTATAATTTCTAGGTAAATCTGATTAGTGGAAATCTGATCTTTGCAATACAGAATAAATGCAAGGAAACAATACCAGAGTCTTCAGTTCATGCCAGGTATTTATGTAAAATGTAATACGAAGGCAAGTTGAAAGCTGACCCGAAGTTGGCTGATTACATACATGCAGAATACAACAATTCAGATAGGGATGAAAAGAATTCAGAAATTTCTGTGCATAGCTACTAGGAACTTTGCCTGGTGATATTTTAAATGGATGCCCTCGAACAGCTAACTAGGGGGTCCTTTATCATTCAGGCATCATTAAAGATGTGCGTAGCGATTGTTGAGACAGTTGTGAATACACATTACCTTTTAAGAGAAAGTTTCTCTATATACTTATTTTCTTTTTTTTTTTTTTTGGTTTTTCTCTGGTACCGGAAACCGAACTCACGACCTTGCACTTGCCAGGCAGGTGCTTTTGCCGCTGAGCTAAACCCCCAACCCCTTATATACTTATTTTCATTTGACATCCTTTCCTTTGCCATTTGACACTATGCAGTGGGGACTGTAAATAAAGGCACAACTGCAATTTAGATAGCAAGAACCATAGTCCTTTTTCCAAAAGAGAATTTGTACATTACATTTATCCCTCAGTCAAGCATATTCTCATTGCTACTTCAGGTAATTTAGGGAAGGTTCTTGACTTACAGAAAAAAAACCCTTTTGACATGGTATATTCTTTGGCATGTCAAAAGTCAATCATAGTATTTTTTAAAGAGAGAATAAATATGGCTAGACAGACTGCTTCAAGAATGTCATCGGCAGATCTATTTCCAGCCGGAGCCTTAAGACCCACTTAATCTGCAGTCTGGCCCGCTCACCTGACTTCTCCTCTTCTCTGTTTTGACATGTCTGATCACCACTCTCCATCCAGATCTTGAGCTCAGGACTACTGAGCCCCAACTCATATCATCAAGGTACACAAAGCGCCATCTTTCTGACAGGATTTTGCTGCCTAAAATGGCCCCTAACCCGAAACAGACTTTCGGTACCCTGAAATCAGGATATGTGTGACAGGCAAAGCCTAGGAGAAGGAAGATTTCATCTAGGGAAGGCTGAAATTCCTCTAGACCAGCGTTCTTACCTCCTGCTCCGTGGACATGGAGCTCTCTGAAATCGTTTGCACAGTGTTGTATGATAGAAGTCCTAGGGAGATAGAGCCCACCATTGTCTCCAGTAGTTCAGAGCTCCCATCCTGCACTCTATAGGCCCAGAGCTCCAATCTCAGCACTCACTCTTTTTTTTTTCCTTTCTGAAATGCACCAGGCGAAGACTATGCTCCAATCTCAGCACTCACTCTTTTTTTTTTCCTTTCTGAAATGCACCAGGCGAAGACTATGCTCATCCCAGAGCTGCCTCTATGCTCCAGGTTTCCTTCTAATGGAAATGGGCTTCATTTCCCTGCACCCCAAAGCACTTGTGATGGGAAAGAAAGGAGTTCTTTAAAGCATTGTATACCTGGAAAATTTTCTCCCTCTCCCAACAAAAAAGATGTAAAGAATTAATTGTGCAAAGCCTATAGTCCAGGACACTGTACTGTCTTCCAGAAGGAGAGAAACATAGTAACCAGTTCAGCTATGGATAAGAATGAAGGAAAAGGAGCCCCCCACCCGCAAAGAAAGCCAAATAGCTGCTTGGAAAGAGTTTTTCAGTCTATGAACAGGAATAGTGATAGCCATAAACCCTCACTGCAGAAGCTCTTTATACAGAAGGCAGTCCAGTGTGTAGTGGCTAAAAGTGAATTTGGTTTCCATTGCTCCAGTTTGACCTCATGGTTTTTCTATTGGTCTGGAGGGTGAACTTGGTTTCCTCCTTTCTAAAATGGGGATAATAAGACTTTGTAGGTTTGTGTAAGGATTAAACAACATGAGACTTTTAATGTGCTCAGCATCACGTCAAGTACAGTGATAACATTCTCCCTTAGTGTTGGCTGCCATGGCCGTGGGATTAAATTTCCAAAAGCAAATCGGATTGTATGTTAATGAGCAGGAACTGAATCTAGAAGCTCATTACTTTGATTGACCAGACCTAAGCGGGTCTTTTGTTTCTTAAGTGACATGAATGAATATTTGAAAGCATTTCAGGTTTTAGGTAAAATTCTAAACCTGTGGTTCTTAACCTTAGCATCCACTAGCATTAGCATCACAGTGGCGGAAAGATCAGAAGGATGTGAAAACCCCATAGCCATGTCCTAGCCCATGCCTAAATTATCTAATTCATTTATTTATTTATACCAGGAATCGAACTCAGGACCTTGTGCTTGCCAGGCAGGTGCTGTGCCACTGAGCTACATCCCCAGCCCCCTAGACTAAATTAGTCCAAGTCTGAGGAAGGAAGCGAGGCACTGGAATACTTTATTTTTTTTTTTTTATTTTTTGGGGGAAGGGGGCGGTTCCGGTACCGGGAATCGAGCTCACGACCTCGCGCTTGCCAGGCAGGCGCTGTGCCGCTGAGCTAAATCCGCAGCGCCCCTGGAATATTTTAAAGCTCCCTACATGACTGCAGTGATCAGTCGAATATCGTCCGTATTTACTCTCAGTTTCTGAACCTACTTCCTAACGCCGTTAAACATAGGAAAGTGATTTAAATAAACAGGCCCTGGGCAGTGCCCAGATGAAATATTTAATGGGAAGCTGCTTCGGGCAACCCCAAAGTCGCACTAGTTCTCATTCATGCCACTTTGTGAATGTCACAAGCTCCAGCTCTTCCAAAGCTCTGTAGAGAGGGCCTACTCTACAAAATTAAACTTAACTCCTTTATGTTAGCTCTTGGTGTTTTTCTCATGGCAAATGCATTAGAGGTATACGCAAAAAGCGTACAAATGCCACCAGACTCAGACTCTGAATCCCAGAATGTCACCGTCACAGCATTCATTCATCGCCCCTGTCCCATGCGTTTCATTAACAGCGCAGGATCAGCTAGACTCCGGAAGTGGGGGGTGCGCAGCTACGGGGTCACAGGCTCGGTTTCAGTTTGGAGACAGATGGTGGCGACGGCTGCTTCAGGTCACAGTTGGTCAAGTGCGCTTACAAGAGGGGACGTGGGAGAGGCTGGGAACGAGGCAGGGAAGAAAGCGCCAGCATCAGGCAGGCAGAAGAGACTGGAGGGAGCGGAGCGCCTGGGCCCCAGCCTCACTGTGCGGAAAGACGGCAAGATGGGCAGTTCAGGATCAGCTACGTGGGATCACCTCAGCAGGCTCTAAGCCCTAGCGGCAGGTCCTAACCCTGGGATGATTAAGGTGGAAGAATATTGGCTTCTGGCCGATGGGGCGTTTCTGGGTTGGTTAGTGCTTCTGTGTATCAAAGATGCTCTTCCAGCTAAGTCCTCTGCTGCCTCTAAGAATCAGCCAGCCCAAAGACCGGCAGTCTCTCCCCAGCCACGGAAATTTTTCATCCATCAAAACATCATTATAGAAGCTGGGGATGTGGCTCAGTGGTAGAGTTCTTGCCTGGTATGCACAAGGCCCTGAGTTTGATCCCCAGTATCACAAAAAAAAAAAAAAAAAAAATCCTTATAGGGTGTGGTGTCACATACCTGTAATCCCAGCACTTGGGAGGCTGAGGCAGGAGGATCTCTGTGAGTTCGAGGCCAGCCTCAGCTACATAGTGAATTCAGCCTGAACTGCATAGTGAGACCCTGTCTCAAAAGACAAAACAAACAAAAAACAAAAAAAAAAACAACGTACAAAAACAAAATATCATTATATGCAGAAAAATTACAAATGTAAACAATACAGTTTGGTAGTAACAGGAATGTACTTAACGCTACTAAATTGTACACCTGAAAATAGCTAAAATAGTAAACTTTATGTTGTGTATATTTTAGCACAGTTGAAAAACCAAACAAACTGCAAATACTCTTAAACTCAAGATAACAAAAAAAAAACAAGATCCAAAGGGGGAAACGGGGAAGTAGGAGACAAAGTTACCTCAAGAACTTCAAGGGTCACTGAAGAACAGATTGTCTTCCGCAAACCATTGGCCACCTCCTGAAATGCATATTTTAAGCAATTCTAAAAATTACCCTTTGTAGTGGATGAAAAGGAAAGAGTACAGAATTGCTTCATTCTCTAAAAGCGTCTCTCACTTCTCATTACCGTGTCACGGTCTGAGGCGACCAGGAACTGTGGGGAAGGTTCTTCCGAAAACCTGACTCATCGTCAGAGCGCAGGCTGCGACGGCGCATGCGCACGCCGAGCCTCAGCCTGGCCTCCCTGGCAGCTGGGTGCTAGCGTGCTGTCCCGTCCAAACGAATGCAAAGTCAGCTCCACACTTTCCCATAATAAAATGTTCATGTATGCACGTACGCGTGTGTGTATGTACCGATTCATATATTTTAATCCAGCAGATTTACATACACCGTTACCCTGAATTTCTAACCTCACTTAGAAGTCACCTCTTTAAGACACTGTACTGTACATTTCACATCCAGAGTAGTTTGACAACTAGTGCTTCGTTGCGTGGCCCTGCCTGTTTTCTTTTCTCTGTGATCTGAGAGACCCACTATCAACTCTTCTTTTTCCTTGCTCTTTTGCCAAATCTTTTCTCCACTCTCTATGCCAAGATTCTCTGGCATAAACACCTCAGGCTGCCAAACTTTTCTGCTATTGTCCTAACATAAGCAACCCAAAAATGACTACCCTTTCCTCTCCCTGCAATTTGCTTCGTACGTCCAGTTCTCAGATGCCTGCAGAGTAAGTACCAGGGGGAAAGAAAACGAACTATTCCTTCTTTTGTTGGGGAGGGAGAGGATGCTTCCCTCAGTCAGAGACTGTCACGAGTCGGAGAGTCCTGAAACCTAATGACTAGGTCTGATCCATATTTGCTTTCTTCCTTTCTGTAAACTACATGGAAGTGTTCTATCTCTGCCTGAAGATCTGCCAACTCATACTGTTCCGTTGCTTCCAATCTGATCAAAAGTTCTATTGCTTCCAAAATAGCAAAGGAGTCAGGTAAGAGTGAGGTAACCGGTTTTAAAAACTTTGACGCAAGTATAGAGATGCGTCTGTTCCCCAGTGCTTAGGGACCTGTGCTGTGCTCTAAGAGAGGCCTGCATATTGCTCACAACCAGCAATGCACAGGCAGCAGGAGAGTTGGAATCTGTGTCCTGCCTGAGCCACTATACAGCGCTGGATACGCGGGAAAGTCCCAAATTTTTCTGCACCTCAATGTTCTCATTGCTGTGGTGGAGATAATAACAGCTAACACTGTGGAGTGCTTATCACATGAGCACTGTGAAAGCAGCTAGCACACATCTTCCTGGCATGCTGCCAGCATCCCTGTGAAGTAGTTATTATTATTATTATCGCCATTTTACAGATGTGGAAATTGAGGCACAGAGATTAGTTTTCTTACCTGTGATGCCAAAG